CTCCAAGGTGGTGCAAAGTCAGCCGCTGCCTGAGGCCATCCAGCAGGAGCTACAGAGAGATCTGCAGATTTCTCCTCTTTGTTTGGGGTTTGGAGGTGCCCAGATGAGGTGCAGCTGTGAAGCAATGAGGCTGCTGATGAGCCTTAGGCCTTCTTTTGGAAGCTCTGGGGTTCTCTGACCCAGCTACAGTTTGACAGGTTTTTAGGCAGAGAAAGGCCAGGCCATTCATATGCAAAAGCCTCTGTGCACAGCTTGGGTGGGGTTGTAAATTGGGTGTGGCAGGGGTGGCAGGGGTGTCTCAGGGAATCACTAGGGCAAAGCAGACAGCAATGGTTGCCCATCAGCCCTGCCCCGGTAGGTCCTGGGGTCTGTGTCATGCAGCCCCATGGAGGAACAATGAACGCTACAAGCACCTTTGCGAGAAAGCTGCCCTCACGTTCCGGCCCGATGCCAGAGAGTACATTTCTCTCCGTATGAGTCTGGGTCCCCAAATTCTCACCCGGAACTGGATTTCAGAGCAGTTGGAGCTTGTATCTCCCTCCCGATTGAAAAAGACAACAACATAGCCAGCTGCCAGCCCCTTTCGCGCGCCTCCGTACCGCCACACTTCCACATCTCTGCACCTCCTACCAGACTTAATGTGCTTTTCTCTTTCCTTCTAGTTGTAGAATTTCCACTCAGCCAGCCTTCCCATGGTTCTGGATGATATTCGTTTTGTCTTTTAGTTGTAGTTTTAATGTGGTTGTGTGCGGCAGCAAGTTCAGGTGTTTACCTATACCGCCATCTTGGTTGTCTCCATGCTCTGTGGGGTTTTTTCTCTGTCTGGAATGCTGACAGCCAGGCAAACATGGCTGCATCTCTGTGCTGTGTACCTGATCAGATATCTGGGCTCAGCCACAGCTCATACTGCCCGCTTCTGCAGCATTGCCCACCAAATTTCTTTGCTCCCCCCGCTCCCCCAGCTGAAAGGAGTGTCAGCCACAACCCAATTTCTCCCCTTTCTGGGCTGAGCCCCAGTGTGAGCTCCCCAGCTACAAGGCTGTGTCTGTGGCTCGGCTCAGCATCTTTTCCTCCCTGGTTTGCTCTCACTTGCCCACCTTTAAATATTTCAATACCTGACCTCTCAGGTGCATTTGTGCACTGAACAGGGAATCTTTTGTTAAATTATAGCTGTTTGAATAGTTTAAACCTCAAAGGGTCATCTCTCATGTTGCCATTCTTCTGATGTCATTCACCATTTTTTTTTCTCTAGCTATTGCATTGTAAGAATACATATAACATATAGGGTGTCCCAAAATTCACACAAGATTTGCAATTGAATTGAATTGCAAATCTTGCGTGAATTTTGGGACATACTCTAATTAATATGTGGTAATAAACTATTTATATTGTTGATGCAGCTTCCAGTCAAAAGTAGGCTAATAGTACTTAAGTTTTGGGGAAGTCAAAGTTACATGCAGATTTTCAACTGTGTGGGAGATTGCTGCTTTGTTCAAGGATAAACTGTAAACGTTTATACCCTAGAATATCTAGGGAACAATGTCCAAATTTCTGAGCACAGCATTCTAAATCCTTCAAAGTCAGGCTCCCAGCTACTAGTATTACCTCATTTCCCTTTACTTCCTATAGCTCATGCTGAAGTTCTTATAATCCAAATGAACAAAGCCCCAGAAAATGCCCAAGCCCCTGCATATTCTGCATAAAGTGAAATATGCTCATTCCATTGCACCCCCTATAGCTCATGCTGAAGTTCTTATCATAATCCAAATGAACAAAGCCCCAGAAAATGCCCAAGCCCCTGCATATTCTGCATAAAGTGAAATATGCTCATTCCATTGCACCTGAAAAATGTTACTCATAATTCAAGAGTTGGTTCAGTTGTCGTTAGTGAAATCTTTTTAGACTGCCTCAGACAGAGCTAGCTGCTGTGGGTTTTATTGTTTTCATTTATAGCTATCATGTGGTA